TGGTACCATTAAGACTTTGGGGACTTTTAGAGATTAACTAAATGCATTTTGCATTGAGATGCCTGAAGAGGTAGAACGTTATAGTTAAATGTGATGTGTCAGGGCCTGGAGAGATGACTCAGCAGTTAAGAGCACTGACTGCTCTTGCAGAGGACTCAGTTTTGATTCCCAGCTCCCATATGGTGGCTAACAACGGTTTCTAACTCCAGTTCCAGGGTATCTGACATCCTCTTCTGACCTCTGAGGGCACTGCACAACACAGGTGCACCTACCTACATGCAAGCAATGCACTCATACACATTAAATAAAAATAACAAAATATTAAAAGAAAAAAGAAAGTGATGTGTCTGGGCTAGAGAGATGACTTAGTAGTTCAGAGCACATGCTGCTCTTCCAGAGGACCTGAGTTTGGTCCCAAGCACCCATGTCAGGCAGCTCACAACCACCTATATCTGCTGCTCCAGGGCATCTGAGGCCTCTGGCTTCCACAGGCACCTGCACTCATATGCACATACTTTCATAAACACATGTACAAATTAAAAATAAATAAGGGGCTGAAGAAATGGCTCATCAGTTAAGAGCACTGCTTGCTCTTGCAGAGGACCCAGGTTCGATTCCCAACACCCACACGGCAGCTATGAATCATTCTTAACTCCAGTTCCAGGGGAGTTTGAAGCCCTCTTCTGACCTCCGCAGCATTGCACGACACATATGTACTCACATACATGCAGGCAAGACACTCATACACATAAAATAGAAATATTACTTACTCTTTTTTTGAGACAGGATCTCCCTGCAGCCACAGCTGGCCTGGAACTCACAGAGATCTGCCTGCCTCTGCCTCCCAAGTACTGGGACTAGACATGTGCCACCACACCTGGCTCTTATTTTTATTCTTTGTTATGAGTGTTTGGCCTGTATATATGTAAGTGCACCCATGCATGCAATGCCCACGGAGGCCAGAAGATGGCATCTGATCCTCTGGAACTAGAGTTACTAGTGGTTGCAAGCTGCCATGTGGGTGCTGGAAACCAACCCCAGGACCTCTGCAAGATCAGCCATCTCTCCAGCCCCGATAAATATTTTTAAAGTGTTATGTTTGGTGTCAAGCTGACAAGGAATGGACTTGTGATGCTTAATCTTCATTGTCAATTACTCAAGATTTAAAATCATCTCAGAAACACATCCCTGAGTGTATGTGTGAGGGTATCCCAGAGAGGTTAAATTAAGGAGGGAAGACCACCCTCAATTGGGCAGACCCATCCTACAGACCTGGGGTCTTAAGGCTAAATAAAAAGGGAAAGGAAACCAAACAAGCTGAGGACCAGCGTCCACTTTCCTCTGCTCCCTGATTCAGACGTGAACAAACTGCCTGCCTTGCTGTCCCTGCTATGATGGACTCTTTCCCCTTAAACTGCAAACAAAATAAATCTTTCCTCTTTAAGTTGCTTTCTGTCAGACATTTGGTTATAGCAACAAGAAAAGACAGTAAAACAGCACCCCATGGCTAAGAGCTTGGGCACTGGGGTTTGGAGCCTGACCTAAATCCCTCTCTGGGCCTCAGTTTCTTTTCATTTAAAGTAGGAATAATATGTCTGTGATCCCAGCACATGAAAGGCTCAGACAGGAAGACTGAGAGTTGAAGGCCAATCCTGTCTACATGAACCTGTCTCAAAAAAACAACAAAAAGCCAAGTCAGATGTGGTAGCGCACACCTTTAATCCCAGCGAGCTCCAGGCCAGGTAGGGCTACGAGGAGACCTGTCTCAAAAAGACCACAAAAAAAAAAAAAAAAAAAAAAAAAAGTGATCTAACAACACATACTCCCAAGTAGTATGAGATCATGTACATCAAGGTACCTCATACTGCCAACCTAAAATCATGCTACAGAAGGAAACGAAACAGCACAGTCCCCACCCTAGCCCTGGCCAGTAAGGTTAAGAGCAGCAATCGATGAGAATGTGCCTTAGGAATCTCAGATGAGGGCACTTAACCCAGCCTGGAGAAGCAGGCTAGAGGAGACACCCAGAGCAGAGTCTCTAGGGTGGACAGACAGAACGAGGACTCCAGGGACACAAAGGCAGAGCACAGCATGATGTATTTTAAGAAACAGTGCTCAGGAACAGGCTTGGAGAAGTGACCTGGCCTGGGTCACACATATCTTGGAAGAGATAGGCCTCGATCCTGAAGACGCAGGGAGCTTGAAAGGGCTTTAAACAGGGGAAGAACATAGGTTGGCGATTTAAACGGATCATTCCAGACTCTAGGGGGCATGTTTCCTCTGCTGGGCTCTTTCCACATACTATACTGACCATGGGTGGTTTCCTTCTCCAATGGTCAGAGAATCTGCTCCAACCAGACTAATCTTGGACCTGCTAAAGCTTGAATGTCCCCTCCCAAACCCCACGTTGATATTTAAGTGCCATTATCATAGGATGAAAAGGTGAGTGGGTCTTAACTGAGTTAAGGCTGTTAGTGGACAACTATTCAACTGATATTCCCAGTCTCTCTTTCCCACTTCCTCCTGCCCTCTGTCCCTGTTGGGTGGCCTATGCTTTATGGCACAGTATGAAGCCTGGCAGAGGCCACTGCTGTGCTCCTGGACTGCCTAGTCCAGAATGATTACAATGACGCCTCTGTTCTTTACAAATCACCCATTCTCAAATTTTCTGTTACAGCAACAGAGAAGACTAAGGAAAGGTCCCACTATTCTATTCAATGTGCCAAAGAACTGTGTCTCCAGTCACTGCCAGGTAAGGTTTACACCTTAACACTAGGATGCATTGAAACACACTCCAGGCCCTTTGAGGACAGGGCTGGGTGTCGCTCACTTTACATCTGCAGGCACAAAATACACATTGTTTGATGGATGAACAAATGCCCTTCGGTGACTTCAAACTCAGGTGTTCTTTCCCCCAGGCACTCCGGAGGCCCTGCAGGATCCCCAGCATCAGAGCCACGGTCCAGCTGGCCTTCTCACGACCCAAGGTCAACTTGTGAAGGGAATCAGAGATTGGCCTGCTTTTTTGTGTTGCTTTTTAAATTTTCCACTAGAATTTTGGATGAATGGGAATTCTGAAAAATGCTTTCCAGCCCATACACCACTAGGCAGGACATGGTGTGACTGGAGATTGGAGGTGCCGATTGGCCAGTAAAATGCTGTATTTACAATATAGCTGGCTGTCAGAATCTGTGGGTTCTGCATCTGTGAGTTCAACCAACCACAATTTTTTTAAAAAATCATTAAAACAAACCTCTATTGAACATGTACAGATATATTTTTACGTGTTTGAGTGTATTGCTTTAATGTAAGTGCACCCATGTTGTGTAATGCTTATGGAGGTTAGAAGGCATCAGATTCCCTGGAACTGTAGTTATGGTTGTTAGCTATTTGGATGCTAGGAATGGAACCTGGGTCTTCTGCAAGAGCAGTCAGTGCTCTTAACTGCTGAGCCATCTCTCCACAGTATAAGCACTATTCACACAGGAACTGCCTTGTATTATTATAACCTAGATATGATTTAATGTGTAGAGAAGGCTGTAGGTGAATTCTAAGCAAATTCCAGGCCATTTTACAGACATGGCTGTGGCTGGCGCACCTCCATGAGCATCCTGGAACCCAGTCCCATGGACACAGAGGGAAGACTGTTGTTTTGCAGAGGACTTCTCTTACAGGTTCCCAGGCTTCCTGTGCTCCAAGCAAAGGCTGCAGGCTTTAGGTAGCCTGCCCTACCTTGCTGGTTTGTTCTAAGAACTGGAAATGAACTGGAGTAACAATACCCACTGTGGGGGATGCCAGCAGCAGTTATTCAAGAGAATTCTTACCAAACCACTGTCTGCTAGGAATTAAGGGTACTGAGAGGGATGACAGACTCAGGCCTCACTGCAACTCCAATGGCAGCTCCCTTTCCTACCAAGCCCAGCACCCCTCAATCCAGTGTTGATCCCACATTAACAGTTTAGGGCCCCTCCACCCTCCTTGAAGGGAGACGTAAAATGGAAGGTGGGAGCTGCCATGACAGGCGGTACCATAGCACGAGACTGCTGCAGGGCCAGATATACTAGGACCAAGTGAGGACCTCAGACCCAAAATCCTGGCACCTGAGTCAAGGTGCCACTTCCTACTGCAGGGAGACTGTGCTGGTACCAAGTCTCCAATGCAAACTGCCTGCCCTTTTTCCTAATCCCTTTAATCAGCTCTGTTCTTGACTCTGGGAAGGGTGGGGCGCCAATATCACCCCATAAGCCCCACAGAGGCCTTACAACTCTAAAAGGCAAGAGGGAAAGGCTTTCACAGCACTCATAAAGCTGGTTCCCACCCCCATCCCCCCACAGTCTTCACACCTCACTGGTTAGGACTCTCCTGACTCCCCCTCTGTTCCTCCAGCACGGTCAGCAGTCTCCCCTACTGGGGGGGCAGTACCATAGGGGATCCTGCTGACAGAGGCCTCTTTCAGCCTCTGCTGGTAGATAGGAAACCAGGAAACAGCTCCCTTCTGGAAGGCTGTTTGATTGGTTTAGGTTTTTGTTTGCGTGATGCTCCCATCACTTGCTAATTGAGCCTTCTGACCTCATTGCTTTAGCCCATGGGCTCTAGTGAGGGCGACTCCCTATGCACCTGAAGTGGCATCTGGTATACACCAGTACACAGCACCATATACTAATACGACCTGCCTGTCCCCCAAAACCCCGCCCCAATTAGCTGCTCTGGTGTTCCAAACAAGACAAGCTTCACTTATGTGTTTGCATAGCCATAGGTGACCCTGGGCTAGCTGTCCAGGACAGTCCTTAGGGCTCACCAGAATCCTCTGATGGGGGTGGCAAGGATGGGGGCCTTGACATCAATGAACTGCAGACCAACCACGGGAGCACAGACACCTCACAGCCAAGGACCACAGAGAGGCTCCAAGTCCCATCTTCATTCCATCATGGAGAGTCAAGTTCATCCCCCAGAAGCCTCCTCTTAGTCATATAACTCTAGTTAACAAAGCAAGACACACACACTGTGCAACTGTTTAATTTGTGCTGCTCACACTGGATACCAAATGTACTCGTGTCAGGCCCTAAAAGAACCCCTTCTCCCCACACAGAGGATGAGATGAATGCTCAAGGACAACAAAGGGAAAGAGATGCGTGGGTGACTTCTGACCACTCAGGGATAGATTTGTGCTCAGGAGTTCAATGGGGGTCGGGGAGGGGAGAAGGCTGATGGGAACACTACTGGGAACGGGGGGGCAGTCTCTGGCTTGCTGTTTGGGGTGCCAGCTGGCTACCTTTCATTGGGAAAAGCAGAAAAGTTATGAAAGCCAGGAGGCCACCCTGGTTTTCCTCACCAGAATGTGAAGGTTGCTGATGCCCTGGCCTCCTGGCTGCCAACCCCCAAGAAATGCCACTCGTTCTTCTGCAGACCTGTCCCTCCCACATGGGCTAGACAGACACGCTGCTCTCACTTCCTGTCTTCTCCACACCCTGCACACATTGAGGAGGTAGGCGGGTGAGGGAAAAGGATGAGGGTGACCTCCTGCCCAGTCTGACAATTTTGAAAGCTCTTTTCCTGGATGGAAGCAAAATGAAAACTCAGGCAATCTCCCCAAAGGCAGCTCTTGGAAGCCCTGGGAGTCGCCACCCCAGAGGACAGAGTGGGACCCCTGTCTTTGGTGCATCTGCCTGAGTCACACGCTCACCTGGCTCCTGGGCAGAGAACCCCTAACACAGCCCACACCCCAGGCACTCTGAACTGGAAAGGGCCTGCCCAGGTTGAGTCACAAACACTGATCTGGCTCCTGAGCAGGGAACTCCCAGCACAGCCCCCTCCACAGGTGCTCTGAGCTGGAAAGGGCCTGCCCAGGTTGGAAACAGCTCCCTGCTGTCAAATGTGTTGGTCTGGGTGGTGTCCATTCCATTGTACCTGGAGGTAGAATCATCCCACCAAAGGCCCCAAGATAAACCCTGACAAGGGGAGTGGCCTGCAGTGTGACTGAGAGACCCTTAGCTGTTATACAGGGGAATCACCCTCGTGATCTCCCGCCGGCAAATGGGGCACCTCTTCGGCTCTGGCAAAGTGAGGTAACACTCGCGGCAGGAGCAGACATGTCCACATTCCAGAAAGACGCAGGACTTGAAGCTGCTCAGACACACAACACAGGCACTCTTCAGACTCTCCCTGTCCTCTGGGGAGGCTTGGCTCAGTAGCTGGGCCTCGTGTTCACGGAACTCGTCCTGGAGCCGCTGCTGGCGCAGGCGCTCCTGCCGCTGAAGGTACTGCTTCCGCAGGATGAAGAAGAGGGTGGCACATGTGGTGAAGCCAAACACCAGGACCAGCACCTTCCAGAAGCGGACGCTGGACTCCTGCCTCTGCAGCAGGCTGTCGAAGTCCTGGCTGCTCAGGTAGTACTGCATACCTTGCTTGGGGGGCTGTAGGCGGATAGAGTTGTTGTCCAGGACTAGTTCACCAACCCCCGTGAGGGTGGCCCCAACCTTCAGTATCTCCTCTGTCTCCTGGATGCCTTTGGGCCGCTCACCGCTGATGTAGTGGCCAATGACATCAGTGAAGGACTGGACAGAGGGATGGAACTTCTCATACACAGTCTCTAGACCAAGATCCACTGAATCCAGGGGCTTCAGCACTCGCACGGCCACAGTCACACCATCCTCGTGGGGCACCAGGTCAAAGGGCACCGTGTTCGTCCTCTGATGAATGATCTTTGAATAGTCATTCCTGAAAGAGTACAAGGACCAAAGATGAAACACAGAGCAAGCGTCCATCTCTGGAGTGGGTCACCTACGGCCGGGGACAGGAGGAAGTCTGGCATCATAACTGAACTACAATCTCAATCACTAATGCCCAGGACCAGAGAAGGGAGGCTCCATTTTTTGGGTCCTCCGGTTTTATCGTAGACAACAGGTACTGTCAGATGTCTCCTTTCCTGTTTACTCCCTTTTGCCACTGTCACATAAATACCTGAGACAAAAACCTACTAGGATCAGAAGGAACAACAGTATACTTCATGTAATGGCACAAAGTCATCTTAAACGCCTAAATCATTAATCTGTAAGTGAATGATTCTGAAACTTTAGTGTGCCTCAACATCAGCAGACTTCAGGTTCCTTCTCCTGAAAATCAGGCTTGGTAACTGAGGAGGTGGGCCTAGGAACCTGCAGTGTAACTAGGGCCTCACAGGTTGTGACGGAAGTGCACACAGCAGTATTATGGCATGGAGAAGCCAGTCTATACGACCTGTCTCATGAGACACCAAAGGCACAGCACAGGCCCTCAGGACCCAGTCTCTGAACAGACAGTAAGGTTTTGGCTGGTGGAGAGAGGACACATACCAAAGGTGGGTTGTTCGATTCCACACCATCTTGTGCTCCTGAAGTGTCAGCCGCTGGATCACCCCCTTGCAGTTTTCCACAAACTGGCTGTTGAGTGTTTCTTTAACAGATCGCACAGCTCCTAAGTAGAAACCAAGTGTTATTTCTGAAGAATTATTCTGCCATCTCTAAGTAATTTAACCTGGGATTTTGAGTTAAGCTTAACATATCAGCATTTTCATCATCATAAGGTATGTTTTTGGAGCACTCTGCCAAGTATTTTATGTAAGTACCTTCCATAAATCACATCATTCAAGTCTTTTAACAACCTCATACCATAAAGATTACCTCTAAAATCATCGGAGACCCACAAGTTTGGTTAACCTTGCACAAAATGACCTCGGGCTATCAGACCCCAAAATGCATCCCTGACCATGGCCCTAACACCATTAAAAGGCACTAAAGGGGCCAGCAAGATGGCACAGCAGGTTAAGGCACTTGCCACCAAGCCTGACAACTTGAATTCGATCCCCAGGACCCACATGAATGTGGATGGAGAGAACCAACTCCCACAAGTTGTCCTGATGCTCACACGAGCACTGTGGAACTTACACCCATCCCTCCATACACACACAATAAAATAAATGTTGGGGGGCAACACTTATGTTAGCCAAGCTGATCTTTATCAACTCTTGGAAGATGTTATTTCCCAATTAGCACTAAACAGATAAACATACCTTCAATAACAGCATAAGGCACACATTTTCCAGGTGCTTCTGAAAGAATGCTCTTTAAATCTTCACCCAAATGCATTTTCTTAGCCCCCTAAATGCAAAATAAATGAACAAACAAAATAATATATTAGACTGGCCACTGAATACTGAAATGTTCAACCCACCTTAAGGGGAGGGAAGAATGTTGAGAAACTGAAGGAGCTGAAAGGAAGGAGAGCAGAGACTTGGCCCTTAAGCTCGAGCTTGAAGCCTGACCATGTCAACAGACTGGGGGAGTACGCTGCTCTCCTCATCAGAGGCTGGCGGTGTCACATACTTTCTTTTTCCCCCAAGTAACCAGAAAGTGCACTCCTTTTGATGTGAACACTTCTGCATGAGAATCTAAAACTGCAGAAAGAATCTCATGAAAGACCTGGGCTGAATCCAGCTGAAATTCAGACTCACTCAGCTGGGTTTTAGTTTCCCAAACTGTGAAGGGTAGGAAGAGCACAATCTTACATGCTGAGGTATGGGAAAATCCAGTCCAGGCTGGCACATGGGAGCCATGCATAATCAAGTATTCCCAGCACCACGAGAAACAGGGTAACAGCTGGGCACAGTGGCACATGCCTTTAGTCTAGCACTCGGGAGGCAGAGGCAGGCAGATCTCTGTGAGTTCCAGGCCAGTCTGGTCTACAGAGTGAGCTCCACGCCAGCTGAGGCTACAGGGAGACCCTGTCTTAAAAAGTCCAAAAAAAAAAAAAAAAAAAGACAGAAACACTCAGGGTAAGATGCAAACTCCCATCTGACCAAGAAATTAAAATCTAAAATAACCAGAAGTGTCAAGTCTTTATCCAGGGTTATTTCTTTCTTTTAGGAACTACTTGGCAAAGTTTTATTTAGTTTTAAAGATTTTTTTTTTTAATGTGTATGAGTGTTTTGCCTTCATATATGTAGGTACACCATATATACCATGTGCATGCCTGGTGCCCACAGAAGCCAGAAGAGGGCATTGGATGGTCAGGAACTGGAGTTACAGGCAGTTGTTAAGCCCCCCATGTGGGTCCTGGGAACTAAACTCAGGTCCTCTACAAGAGCAGCAAGCTCTTTAAACCACTGAACCATCTCTCCAGCTGGTTTTGTTTTTTGAGACAAGGTCTCATGCGTCCCAGGCTGGCCTTGAAATAAACACATAGCTGAGGATGATTCTAAACTCCTGATCCTCCTGCCCCAACCCCCCTCCCCGAAGTTCATGGATTACAGGTACAGTCACCACACCTGGTTTACACAGTGCTAGGGATCGACCCTAGGCTTCATGCATGCTCTGTAAACACTCTAAGAAAAGGGCTACATCCCCACACCTTGGCAAAGCTTAAGGTCACCCAAAGACCAGCCCAAGAATCTCACGTGCAACCAACTTGATACTAAATTGGTTTTGGAGTCAGAAAGTAAAATATCATTTACACTCTGAGCCAACCACTCATGGAGGAGCTTGGTAATTTAATTAGGTGAACAGCTGGGCAGCTGGACTCTCACTAGGATATCATTTGCACAGAAGATCCAGTTGCCTCCTCATAAACTGCTTCATTCTAGATTCCAAAATTTCTTTCACTGCAGGAACTTCACATTTCCATTTCTGAGCCCTTACTGAAAATAATCTGGTGGTAAAGAAGTTAGGTTTGAATCCACCTTTCATATGCCAATTAAACTTTTGTGAAATTTCAGACCAACATTTATTGAGCATCTACAATTTGTCAAACACTGAGAATTGAGAAATAAAAATAAATAAGACCTTGTCTCTGACCTTAAAAGGCCCATCTCTCAGTGGGCATAGCGGTGCATGCCTTTAATCCCAGCACTCGGGAGGCAGAGGCAGATGGATCTCTGTGAGTTCTAGGCCAGCTGGGGCTACAGGAAGACCCTATCTCAAAAAA